ATATAAAGTAGAGGAAGATGGGCACAGATGTTAGCCCAGGGCCAGTCTTCCTCAGCAAAAAGAGGAGGATTGGCAACAGATGTTAGCTCAGGGCTACTCTTTCTCAAAAAAAAAAAAAAAAGGCTGTAACCTTGTGTGGTCATAGCCACTGAAAGGGTATTTGAAGCTGGTGTAGTGCTGCTTGCTCTTATTCCCTGATGCCCACGACGTACTCAGAGGGGACCAGCTAAATGGCCAGCAACAGTTGTGTAAGAGACAAGCAGGATATTTCACTTCCAATCCCAATAGTTTCCACGAGTATGATGCAGTTATTACCATCACAGTGTGTAATAATTATATAATAAATGTATAATGTATAATAAATACGAAGCTGTGCGTCACCCTGGCACATGGGTGAGGGGAGATGTGACCACCACCCCCCAGGGTAGTGATCGGCCAGGTTTCTCTGCACTCTCGGCTGGGTGTCCTTTTCTGGGGGGCTCAGAATTGAGAGCTCTGGGGGCTCAGGAAATACTAGGTGAGAGTGACAATGACCAGAGAATGACCATCTCAGCAGCTTTCTTGCAAAAGCCCACACCTCCCTTTGTGCGCTCACACACACACGTCTTCTGTGAGTAGTGTTACTTTTCTCCATTAGAAAAAGATGAATGAAGAGTAAACAAAAGCTTCAGAGGTGGATGGGGATTGCATCCAGATCTCAGCCTCATGAACTTCTAGGTTCATTTCATGAGGTTGTATTAGGTGCCAGGTACACAGCCGAATGTGTACAAGAACTGTAGACTCAGAGAAGTGCACGCTGGGAGAGGCCGCGAGAGGGTGCGTGATGCGGGCCTCTCCCCTAGAACGCCCCCCAGACCTGATCCGTCTGTGCTCTGATGGTGCAGTGACAGTGGGCCCAGTATGTCTTAAAAACAGCCTGTTCTGGGTTTGGGCCATTTGTAATTGTGAGTATGTTCCTTCTTTCGTTGGGCAAATTCGGTTTCTGGGTTTGTCTTCTGCAGCTGCACGGGAGAAGCCTGCTCCCTCTCCCACTTGACAGCACTCCAGGTAGCTGAAGCCCCGACACGCGTGTCCTCTGGCCTAACAGGCCCCGCCCTTGCAGCTGCTCCTCTTTCGCAGGTGCCGGGAGGGAGGAGAATCAGGCCCCGCCCTTGCAGCTGCTCCTCTTTCGCAGGTGCC